TCATGGTATACCCAGTGGTTTGTGTATTATTGGTAAAGGATTCTACTATCAAGAAGATAATGACCCCAAATTACTTACTTACTTAGCTTAGAAATTACTTAGCTAAGAAAGAAGCTGCTGGAGTTATTCTAATGATGCAATAACCCCCACAGAGCCCCGATCTCAAACTAATTGAACAGATCTGGGATTTGATAGATCAAAAACTTTACAAATCAAAAGTTACTTCCAAATAAATTTTATGGGAGTGTATTAGAGACATTTGGAGTAAAATTCAAAAGGACAATTTGATTAAATATGTTGCAACAATGCCTGAAAGACTGTCTGCAGTTATTAAAGAAAAAGGGGGACACACAAAATATTAACTTTATTTTTTAATAAATACAAAAATATTTTAGAAAATAAACTATCTATTGAGATAAAATATCTTATAAAAAAATAAATAAAATAAAGAAGGAGTTAGTTACTTTAGCTTATAATTAGCTGGTAGCAATTTTTCAAGTAATTTTATTCAGTATAACTAGGACGGAAAGATTAACTTCGAGTAGCTTGGCTTGTCTCGGCCTTTCCGTGTTATACTTGTATAAATCTTCAGGATAAAGGGAGGGTGGGAGTTAGAACTTTTAAGGTAGAGTTTATAGTTCTATTTAATATCTTATAGTTCTATTTAGTTCTATTCAATATTTTATAGTTCTATTTAGTTCTATTCAATACTTTATAGTTCTATTTAATGTCTTATAGTTCTATTTAGTTCTATTCAATATTTTATAGTTCTATTTAGTTCTATTCAATACTTTATAGTTCTATTTAAGTTCTATTCAATACTCTATAGTTCTATTTAATGTCTTTTGTAAGGGATGAGGGTGGGAGTTAGAACTTTTAAGGTAGAGTTTATAGTGCTATTTAATATCTTATAGTTCTATTTAGTTCTATTCAATATTTTATAGTTCTATTTAATGTCTTTTGTAAGGGTGGAGGGTGGGAGTTGGAACTTTAAAGGTAGAGTTTATAGTTCTATTTAATATCTTATAGTTCTATTTAGTTCTATTCAATATTTTAGAGTTCTATTTAATGTCTTTTGTAAGGGTGGAAGTTAGAACTTTAAAGGTAGAGTTTATAGTTCTATTTAATATCTTATAGTTCTATTTAGTTCTATTCAATATTTTATAGTTCTATTTAATGTCTTTTGTAAGGGTGGAGGCTGGTAGTTTAATTAGTAGAAATATTAGGGTGGCTTTATTTCCTTTATACTTTAAGAAATTTAAGGGTAGCTACCTTCCCCCAACTGGCTATAGACAGTGAAAGGCAGTAGAAGCTGAGACATTGTGGGTGTAAGCACTCAGCTTCGTACCCGTATTTGATTGATTTATTTATGATTTTCCATGATGACCGACTAGATTGACATCGGCGTTTGGATTTTGTTTGCTAAATTTGGACGCTATTACCACAGACATTATCTGTTATGACAAAATGTTGACAATCTGGACCGATAGCGGTAATGCGATATATATTTGCATGTATGTATATATATATATATATATATATACAGATATTTGAACATTTCAACAACAAAAATCATATAGAATTATGTTAATGCAAACATTTCTATACTACCGATATATTTAAAAATTTCCACAATTTCACGAGTGTGTATGTGTATCCAGATTAAAAAATAGTATTGCACATGATGTTTGTCTTAACAAACATTTCAAAATTAAAAAAAAACTGCCTCATACATTCAAACAGCCATTTCGAAATTATGAAACAAACTGATTAGCTAATTGTCTATATAATATATAATCAGGAAGCCATTTTACATTTTTGAACAATATCGTTACACAATTTTGTATATCTTAGAACACTGTTATTTCTGCATATCCACTGAACAGCTATATAACTTTTCCATTCAAGGCGAACCTTACCTCTAGTGAAACATGATAATATTCAACGAATACCAAAAATTATCAGATAAAAGTTATAACATTTTTCATCTCATCATTCCTTAAATAGTTATCTAAACCTGATTATACACATATTCATCAGTTTCTCCTATAGTTATATTAACCTCACCTTTGTGTCTCTTTCAAGGCCCGTGGAGAGCGCTTCTTTCTTCTCAATGTCTGTGAAGTTCTCTTCTTTTCTTCTAGACTGTTTGTATTTGATGGAAGCGCACTCTGTTGTTTCGAACTGTTGCTCGAGTTTCCCTTTTATAGTTTAGTCTACAAATGCAGCTGTGATGTCTATAGAACTTTAGTGACCTTGGACAAAATTAGCTCAGCTAATCACCAAACTGACCACTAAGAAATAATCTGGGAAGAGAGGTAAATAGGTCAAGATGGAACGTTATCGAAACACAGGTAAAGAAAGTGAGGGTAGGGCTTCTTAACTCGAACAAACAACGGAGGAACCAGACCTTACAAGCTTCTAATGCCCTTGAATACACTGGAATTTTCTATTTCCACGTTTTAAAAATACTCACGTGCTTGAAGTCATACTATTTAAAAGCGTGTATTTTATGGGATATTATTTTTCAAACAAGCTCATTTATTAAGTGATATTAGTAGCATGTAGGTGGAGATGTAATAGTGTTTAGGTCTTTAGCTATTAACCGTGGGCAACTGTTATATTATTTTTGATACAATACCATATATCTTTTTCAGAAAAACAGTGTGATCTGTATTGGTTTTCAACAGGAACACATCTTAACAATACACATCACGACACTAGCGACACTAGAGACACTGTGCTATTGGTTTTGGAAGTGACTCCAGACGTAGGACCTATATTGCGGTGGGAATACACTGTCTATCAGTCTTAACCTCCGTTAGCCAGTCTCACATGAAGAAATTCGTAAAATTCAAATAAAATCATGAAAAGTTAGGAGAGCGAGATGTGGGGGCTCAAGCCCACAATGTCCCACATCTATGTCACCCTTCACTGCCTGTAGACGGTTGTGGGATCGTGACTGCTCCCCAAAGTAAAAGATAAATAAATAGAAAGAAAAAAAACGAAATAAGATACTACCACTTGGGGGGTAAGATAAACTTACCTCCTGAGGTTGGAATCTCAGACCCCATTATAGTAGTAATAAAGCACTAATTTAACTTAATTAATAGTACAATAGACAAATTATACTAGTACAGATTTATAACAGCCCAACCAAATTATCTAAACTAACTAATATAACTCCTAACCACCACCCATTAAGTTCACTGTAACTACCAATTTTAAGACCTTTACAGAAACCTTTATATGCGATAAGGTGTTCATCCGCATAAAAGTAGTGCCAAGCTGTTTAAACTTATCGGAAACTTTCAGCAAAAACTCCTTACTTTTTACTTCTTTATATTTATTTAATACATTATTTTATTTATAACAAAATATTTTAATAATTTTATTTAGAGTTTCTTTATTAACTCCATTGAATATTAAATAATTAACTAATGAAATATTGTAATTTACTACAAATTTTACAAAATCTGACTAACTGAGTAAGCCGTATATATATATATATATATATTCTTTTATCAAAAGCATTTAGATTGATATCATTATCAATTATTATAATTTTTAGATCTAAATAATGTGCCACTACATCCAAAATTGAAGTATTTTTTAATTTATAATTCTACTGGATAAGTAGTATTAATAACATTATTTATCTCAGGATCATTTATACTAATTAAATCATCTATATATATTCAGGGTTTTGCTATTGTCAGTAAACCTATTCCCATAACAATAAAGATATAAATTGGCAATACAAGTAGAATAGTTAGCTTCCTTTGGAGCTCCTATTACTTGTTAAAATACCTGGTTATTGAAAAAAAACATAATTATTATAAATGCTAAAATTAAATATATCTTTAATATTTTTTGAGCTAAATTTTCTTTCTTCCAGTATTATGCAAGGATAACAGAATTGTTATATTAATGAATTCATAACAGAAATTAAATATTTCAATGGAATTGGGGTATACAGTGTGGTACAATCAAAGGTTTGAATATTTTTTACATGTTCACAGTTGTTTAGGTATTCTAAAATGGGTTGATTATTTTTTATTATCCAAAACGTGTGTTTCTTATAATTAATATTTACATTTTTAATTTTATCAAATAAAATGTTAAGAAATTTATTTAATAAAATGGCTGGTTGTTGAATAATTGTTTTTATTGAACTATAAATTAATCTAAATTTAATAGGAGATTTGTTGAGTTTAGGAATAGCATATAGAAAA